AAGTCTGTCCTGTTCTTTGGCTCCACCCTCTGATATTTAACTTAACCACTGAGGCTATTTCTACCACCACAGCAGCTCTGTCTCTAAGAAGACCACTCTTCACCTATATTACGCTTTAGTCAGCAGCAAGACGACATGGAGGCCACATCGTTCTCCATCGCACTGTGTGAGTACTGACTGTGTGAGTACTGACTCTGTCTCCATTTCCTGTGACAAAATCCAACTTCTTGGTGACATCTTAGATCACAAATTAGTTAGGATTAGATTCTAGACGACGCATCTAACAGCCTAATCCTTTATTCTCAGTTTCCCTAAAAGTTCATGTATGATCAGGAAGACAAAGATATATAGCATTTATATGCTCTGTTAATTTCTGTCATATTTAGCTCTTTTCCTTTGTCTCTTCAGTGATGACTGTGTTTATGCCGCAGGGTGTACATACTGAGGTTGGTAAGTAGCTTTGTTTTTTGGTGTACAGTTTATTTAGGTCAGCAGCACATTTCTTGACTTCATGTCTTTTCTCTGTGTGGTTTTGGGGCTCAGATCCAGCTTTTTGGATCATTCCAACCAGGCTGCAACTCTTTGAATATGAATCCCTCTCTTTTAAATGTTCGGGCTTCGATGGCTTGACCGGATGGAACATTTTACGGAAAAACAAGGCAGAAATTGCGCCCTGTAATTCAAAGAAGTGGAGTGTGTCTAACGAGTCATCCTGCAGAATTAGAGGGGCTTTTCCAGAGGACAGTGGAGAGTACTGGTGTGAGGATGGAGAGAGGAAGAGAAGCAACTCTGTACACATCAATGTCACTGGTATGTCGGCACTGCAACAGCAGGATCTGTCCGAACTTACGTTTAATATTAAATACATTCCAAACCCTTGTTGTTCAGGTGGTCTTGTGATCCTGGAGAGTCCTGTACTTCCAGTGATGAAGGGTGACGCTGTGACTCTGCGCTGCAGAACCAAGACTTCCTCCAACCTCACAGCTGATTTCTATAAAGATGGCCTCCTCATTGGGAGCAGCTTCACAAAAGAGACAACTATCTACAGCGTTTCAGAGTCTGATGAAGGACTCTACAAATGCATAATCTCTGATGTTGGAGAATCAGCAGAGAGCTGGTTGACTGTCAGAGGTGAGACACTGAAGAGTTTATACAAATTAAAATGGTGTTTTATGTGTTATTTATTGTGTTTTGTGTATGGTTTGATGCACAGCAGATTAAAGGAGCAGGTTTGTCTTTAAGGAGGTATCATTTATTTTATTTAACCCTTTACATAGCAGGAAAATACTGGGCCTTAGACTTCATACCAGGTTTTTGTTGGTCAGTGGTGCACTGACTCTTCAAGATAGCAATGCATCAATGATGTGTCCGACCATACTTCATTTTTAGACCAACATGCCCATGGGCATACAGAAAGTGGGCACAGGGGTTGGAAAAGACAAATGCACTGGTCGGAAATTAGCAATGCTCTCTGCGTTGCAATACCCTGGTGTGAGATAGGCCCCAACATACAGTGTGGAGACATTCATCAGGCACTATACGCTCAGATTTTAAGTGCTGTTTCTTATTTGTCCTCCTGTTTGAATTTGTCTGCAAATCAAATCAATGTGCATTGTTCCATGCAGTCTCCCATACAGGCGACCAATTAAAAACATTTACTGGAGAACTAATCAAAAAACAATTAAATAATTTGCATTACTTATTACATTTTAACAGGGTGACTAATATGGTCCCAATGTAGACCATCTAACACACCACTGTGTCTTTACAGAGCTTCATACAGAGACTCATCCTTCCCCAGATCAAATGCTCTTCATCTTCAGAACCATTTTCCCCATCGTGCTGATGGCTGTGCTGCTGATGCTGCTGGGACTACTTCACTATGGGAAATTCGGAGGTAAACAACAATAACTCATGTCAACTCAGATGGGAATGTAACTGCCATAATACAGAACACAATGAGGTCAACAAAAAAACAATGACAAGGACATAATGAAGCAGTTAACATCCCACCATGCTTTAAATGGGTGCTCAACATCCTTGTTGTGGATCGTTGCATGTTTTATATGTATACATTTGGTTTGCAGTCCCATTTATATTTGCAAATGGTGTACATTATTTCACATCAGAAATAATAAAATGAACTGATGTTTTTCAGGGTCTAGAAGCAGATGTGTCAGCTGCTGTGACTGTATCAACAAGTGAAGATTCTCACCAGTCAAGCCGCAGCTTTTTTCATCACGAGTGTCTACATTTAACAATCCACTGACCAAGGCTGACGCACCGTCTGCAGAGTGATCACAGCATCTCTGCGCCGCTATAAACAGACTCTGTGGGTGTGTGTGCACACACGTGCAATGTGTCACGCAATGATGTGCATTAAAATGCATCTCAGATCAAGTCTCACTTTTGGCTTGTATTTTCTACCTACAATTTAAAACCAAAGTCAAACAATTATAACCATATTCTGTTGTAATATTTGGACAGAAAACAAACATTTTGTA